TTCCATTACATGGATTGGAGTAGAGCACATAGCCCCTGTTATTATACGCAACACTTTATTCTGAATTATATCTAATCTCTTTAAAATCAATCTGTTTGCATTTAAGCAGGGTTGGCTGATTTAAATCAGTCTGATTTAAATCACGATTTAAATCGCCTGATTTTGATTAAAAAAATCATTGATTTAAATCAACATGTATAAATTAATGTAATAGGCAGAAAATGAAATAAAACTGGCTTAAAATAAAGTAAAATCTTTTGTTGTTTTATGTTATTCTTATTATTCTACTACAATAGTCTCATAAACTTTGGAAAATCAACAAAGACGTAGCGATGAGATCTGTCAGTTTTAAAATCAATTTTTTTATTTTTTAGAAATTCACTCTTAATATATATATGAACTGTAATTAATACAGTATGTATTAATTATTTTACTCTTAATCAGTCTTATACATATCTATACAAATAAATAAAATTGAAGTGTCTGTTTGTAATGTCAAAATTACGGCTTTTTACTAAATGTATATGAAAGTATATATGATATGTATAACAAAAATACATTTTTTTTAATTTTTGTCTGTCTGTTTGTCTGTTTGTTTCGGCTAATCTTTGAAACTGCTGGACCGATTTTGACGGGACTTTCACTGGCAGATAGCTGATGTCATAAGGAGTAACCTAGGCTACTTTTATTTTAGAAAAATAATTAGGGTTCCGTGCAAAAAAACTAAAACCCCAAATAACACGCAGGCGAAGTCGCGAGGAACAGCTAGTGTATTCATAAACTTTTAATCCTACTATGTTAAAAAGTGTTACCAACTCGTGTATTTCCAAATATACAAAAAAATCAAAAAATTCAAAAAAAATCAAAAAAATCATGATTTTTTTTTAAAAATCAGCATGATTTGATTAAAATTAAAAAAATCATGATTTTTTCCATCCCTGCATTTAAGTATGCTAATGTGCTGTAATCCAAAGTGACTTCGAACTATACTTTTATAAAGCATTGATAACAACTTTGGGTCAGCTCCCCAATGCACACCTGCTAATGATTTTAATACATTGAGACCCCTACAGGTATTTTTACACAGATTATTTACATGTTCTTGGAAAGTTAGCTTCTGATCAAGCAATATACCTAAAAAATTTATTTTCTGTAACCAAGGCAATGGTATGTTATTATATTTTACAAAATTGTATAATGTATATTATTTTTTGGAAAAAATGAGAGCTCCACTCTTACTAGGACTTATGTTTAATTTCAACTTATTTGAATAAAAATCATGAATTTGCTCTAATGCTAAATTTAAATTGTTTACCGCTATATTTACATCTTTATTTACAGTATATACAAGGAGATCATCAGCAAATTGCAAAAAGCTTATATTTCTATTTCTAATATATTTACTTATTAAACATATACACCCTGCGTGGTGCCTTTGTATACATTTCTAGGTCCATGTAATATGTTATTAAATTTAACATACATAGTTTGGTCATATAGCAAATTAAAAATCCTATTACATACTTTTCCAGGAATACCAATCTCACACAGAATATTTGCCAATATGGAAGGATCAACATTATCAAATGCACTTTGTATATCAATAAATGCACAAACTGTAGTTGCATGTCTGGTAAAAGAATGATTTATATCTGAAATCAAAGAGGCAAAACTCTCTGCTGCACTTTTTCCTTTCCGGAAACCAAATAGTTGTTCAGGTAAAATATTATTTCTTTCTATGTAATATTCTAGTCTGTTTTTCAACATATATTCAAATGATTTTCCTACACAAGAGGAAAGTGAAATTGGCCTGTAGGAGTTGAAGTCATGTTCCTATTTATCAGGTTTCAAAATAGGTATCACACATTGCGTTTTCCAAGACTTTGGAATACATTGATTGTCCCAAAGCATATTAAATATTTTTAAAATAGGTTTTTGTCCATTAACATGCATGTTGCTAATAAGTTTGTATGGAATATCATCCAATCCCGGAGTGGAATCTCCTTGATTGGATGGCTGCAGTAAATTCATGCCAAGTAAATTCTTTCAATAGAAAAGAGCTAGTGTCAGTACCTATCTGATTAAATATTGTATTTAACTTTAAAATATCTATTTCCTTTTCAGAAGGTGTTGTTATGGGTACATATTTATCTAAAAACGAAGGAAGTGCGTTGCAGAAGTTTTCATACGTATCAAGTAAATTTGATGTATCAATTGTGAAGTTTTCAAACTTTTTTTTTGTTTCAGCCTGGAACTTTGACCAGTCTGCTTTTTTATAATTGAAACGTTCGCAAGGTTCTGCTATATCATATTTTTCAACACAAGTATATAAGTCAACTATGGTTGGATAGTGATAACTACCCATAGGATCATCATGTACATGCCAATCACATAAATGAACTAAAGAAAGACTAACACATGAAATATCGATAGAAGATTGATTAAAATTAATGCTTCCTACTGTAGTCGGAGGTCCATTATTTAATATGCAAAGATTACATTCGTCTAACATGTTATAGATATCAGTGCCTCTAGTTTTTGTTGTGAGACATCCAAAAGCAATATGATGAGCATTTAAGTCACCTGAAAGCAAAAGTGGCGCACCTGCGCCTGAAACCTGAAACCTGAAAGCAAATTATTAACAGTCTACCTAGACTGTTAATAATTTGTTTTAATCTTCTGACCTTAAAGCGACCTCCACTGGGTGGGGCATAGACACATAAATTGGATATATTACCTAGACTTGTAGTAAGGGATATAGCTACCGACTGCATATAATCATAGAACGGTGTGGGGACAACAAAATATTTAAAACTATTTTTAATTAATATTGCTACTCCTCCATGTCCATTTTTTCTATTCTGATTAATGAAATTATAGTTAGGAAGGTTGATAGCTCTATTCTCTCGCAGCCATGTTTCATTTAACAGGCAAATATCTATATCATTCTCAACTAGATAATTAATAAGCAAAGGTTGTTTATTATTAACAGATTGTATATTAAATTGTGAAATTCGAATAAATTGTTTATTCATTGTTTTTAAGATTAGTAATAAGCATTTCTTTTATACTTGATGTAGTCAGTTTACGACCTGAATTACCCATGGCCACCAATGCTCCAATAATTGATTGCAAAATATTGTCATTTGTTATAATTTGGTCAATAAGTGTGTCATTATTATTAGTTGTGATATTAGTTTGGGTAGTTTCCGTCTTTGATTTGTGTACTTTAGGAGAGTCATTAGATTTAACTTGTGATTGATCTGTTTTTGAATCCATTGTTTTTTTTGTAGGCATTGAAGGGAAATTTTCGTTATAATTGTTAAATAAATTTTGAGTTTGTGTTGTTTGTAAGACTTTAGCATAAGTAGACCTATTATATTTTTCATCAATTTTTTGTTTTTTTATTGGACAATCTAGAAATTGCGACATGAGGGCCACTACAATTTATGCATTTAATTACCGCATTTTCCTTACATTCAGTGTACCGATGTTCACCTGCACAAATTGAACACCGTTGCACTGATTTACAAATTTTGGCTCTGTGATTAAATTTAAAACATTGTAAAAGCGGGGCAATATACTGATGCACCCTATATTGGAATAAATCCAGATGTACAAATTCAGGTAAGTTGGTTGACAAAAAAGTTACACTTACAGAGCTGAACGGTTTGATCTGTCCATTAACTTTTTTTGTGAAACGACGCACTGCAATGACCTCATATTTCGATGATAGTTTTTTAAACAGTTCTTCATTACTTATGCTAATAGGAACATACCTGAGTATCCCGATTGTTTCCACCGCTCTTGCTGGTATAAATGCCTTGTAATCATACTTCTCTAAGAAACTTTCATTTTTCAAAAAATCGTTGGCGTTAATCGCCCGCGCAAACACCACCCCTACTTTAGAAGCGTTTATTCTTCTTATATTAGTGACTCCCTTTATTTCGTTTTTGAAAATTCCCGCCAACATTAAGGGATTCGTATTGCCAAGTTTGATTCCTTCTTTACGACTCTCAATAAAAACCGTGTATTCAGCCATTCCCATTGATTCAGGGAAAACTCTTTTATAATTTAATTTGTAGTATGGTTTATAAAAACCATCATTTTCCTGCTGCTGCAGGGCTATTCACTATCGTCTCGGAAAGCGAAATCGACTCTGATTCGATAACTTCTCGCACCGAAACCAATAAACGCTATTCATATTTAACGTTCGGATAAAGGTCACTTAGATACATCCTATAACTATTGTATCGTCATTTAGTTACATGCATTTACGAATTTTGTAGATAAATAGGCTTTTGTATTTTTTTAGAGTAACGCCTGAACAAAAACATAATGCAATATTTTGGAGTTAGCCATTGATATCGAATATAAAAAATATATAATTTAACTATATAATAAATAACAAAAAAACTGAGAAACCACACCCCAAGTACGGTCACGCCCCATAGAAAAAAACCCAGACCCGACAGAAACGAGATATATCTCAGTTTTTTTGTTAAGGCGTTACTCTAAAAAAATACAAAAGCCTATTTATCTACAAAATTCGTAAATGCATGTAACTAAATGACGATACAATAGTTATAGGATGTATCTAAGTGACCTTTATCCGAACGTTAAATGTGAATAGCGTTTATTGGTTTCGGTGCGAGAAGTTATCGAATCCGAGTCGAATTCGCTTTCCGAGACGATTGTGAATAGCCCGGCAGGTCTTGATTACGTTTTGGCGGTTTTCTTTTCCCGCCCGCGTCGTGATCCATATTTTTATCCATGCCGTCACTATCAGACTGCATTTCTCTTTATTCTATATTTTAATTTGTATAAAATTTTCCTTCGGAAGTTGAAGTTAAAATTAGACTTGTAATTTTAATTTAAAAATTCGCGCTTCCTCCCGCCAGTCAGGAAGCCAGCTCGTGTCTCTCCTACTTTTTATAGTATATACAGAAAAACAGAAAATTAATTCTACTTACATATGTATTGCATAATTTGTGAACTGTGATTATAGCTATTGGAAAGAGAAATGGCCTATTTTAGTGAAATTTGTAGAATTTGTTTATGCGATAATGTACGCATGTATGTACTAAAGAAGACTGGTCTCGAAAATTTGTACAAAACATTGACGAATAGTTTTGTAAGTTAGTAAAAATATTTCTTAACATTGCAAATTGAATGTACCTCGTCGAGAAATACTTTAAAGAGGGGTTATCGCTGGAGAAATACATTATAACATATATAGTGTATATAACATAAATAGTATATATAGTGACAAATACAACCAGAACCTGAAAAACAACAATTAGCCTGGATCCTGGTTCGCACTAAAATCAGTATTATCATTGAAGTAACCGCGGGCTCAAAATTACCGAGGCTGCGCCATAAAAAGGAACCTTGTGCATCCTTCCATGCGACCCGCACTGCTGCATAGATTTATTCGCGGTGTCTGTTATTTTCCGTCAAAAAATTAATATCCACCCTAGTTTGCTCTTTCACCCACTTAAAGCCGTTCTATGGACTATTAAAGTAGGAGATTAGAGTGCACATGTGCTTACAGACAGAAATTCCCTCACTCTCATATTTCTCATATTCCTATCAGACTCAGAAATCGGAGAAGGGAATAATGTGCAAATGTGCTTGCTAACACACATGCAATATAATCCTGTCCTGTCCTGCATTGATGAATAGTCTCCATTGTGAGCGAAATTCTGCCTGTATGACATATTATCATTATTTTATATGTGGTAGAGCCTTGCTGCAGCTATATTATGGTTGTATCAAAGATGGTTCAGCTAGACCGGGGTGCTACCACATACACAGATTACTAGAGTTAAATAGCAGCTTAATTCTGCTCTGTTTTATATGGTGAGTGTAGAGCATCGGAAACACTTTTTACTAGAGGTGAGGCATTCAGTCTTGGTCTCAGGGGTGACAACGCATCTACGTTTTAATTCTTAACTGTGGAGGTATATAGGCCATAGCGAACGACAAATCAAACAGTCCACCTGATGGTAAGTGAATGCACTTACCATCATGTGGACAGTTCGATTTGTTGTCATCCTTGTGTAAGAAATTATTGAGCCAGCCAGCAGTTGATACAGTTGATATAACTCTGTATCCTGGTTTCAAATCATCATTCAAATCATGTTGTACAATCAGTTTATGGTTTGTACTAATATTACTTTTGATAGCAGCCTGTTCCATACTTTAACCACACAATAGCTAAAGTAGGTGAGTTATTAGGTGACTCAGCTTTAGTCAATTTGAAGTGATGCCACTAAGTTGTGTGTTGTTTGAGTACTGGAATAATAAAGTTTATCGAAATTTTCTATATCATGGTGTTTGTATATTATTTTATATGTGTCAATCAAGTCTCCTCATTCTCTGTCATCTTTCAGACTTTCCTCATATAGTATGTTTTCAATTATGTACAAACATCAATATCTGTGTTGAAGTTTCTTTAGCAATTCAATATAATTTAGAATGCATATTCTAAAATAAGTCAAAAATATACATACATAAACACTCACTCCTGTCACCCAGAGGGGTAGGCAGAGACTACGGACTTCCATTTGGCGCGATCCTGACACACCTCTCTCGCCTCTTTTACATCCATATATTTACGCATACATGCTCGTTGGTTAAGGGTACTCCTAATCTGGCCCATTTTTAATGTATCGCTGATTTGGTCGATAAACCTTCTTTCTTTCTCTTTTTTTTTCTAGGGCGTCCCTTCCCACCCTGCCGTCAAAAACTTGTTTTATATATTTTTAGTATCATTTCTGGTATTATTATTATTATTTACCATAGTTGCCACGCTAGCAGGCTGGTTGTCAACTGCAGTTTTTTTATTACTCTGACCTGTTATGAGGAAAATGCTGCTGCCCATATCCTTATGAGATAAAATAATCTAATTGTTAGATGACAAAACCAACCTGGAACTTACTTCATACTGTAATTGATAATAAATTAAAAAGGTTAAAACTGCTAGGGGATGTATGTATATTGTTATTAACTTACTTTTGAAACTAAGTGACAGTGGCCTAATAGTGTGTGAAGCATTACATCTTAGTCCTCAGAGGTAACATCGCATCTGTAGCCTATGCTTGAAGTTCGTTGCAGGTGCCTGTGGGCTGCAGCAGCCACTTACCTTTGGGTCGATTGTAAGTTTATTTATCACTTCAGTATTGTAAAAAATTTGATGACTGATGAAGAGAATTGTAGTAACCAATAGATTTTATTACAAACTTGTATATTTAAGTAGTTTTCCATATTTATGACAAACTTTCATATTTTCAGATGGACGAGGATGAGGAGCCCATAATTATCTGTTTCACCTGTCATGCAAGACTCATTCGTTGCAGAACATTACAACAACAGGCTATTGAGTCAAATGCAATTCTGGAGCAGTTGCTTGCAGGAGGGTCCATGGTATTATCCGTTCCATCCATTAAAACCTATAAAAGTCCCTCATAGATTGCTTCATAGGAGGGATTTTTCCAAACTTGCCACGCTTGGCAGGTTGGCAACCACAGTTTATATTAGTCTAAGTTGTTATCAGGAAAATGCTGCCTCTCAACTCCTGTTTCTGTTTCCCTCTGTCGCCTCTTATGACACCCGTCCCGTGGGTAGGTATATAGGCTAGTGGATATTCTTACACCGCCACTACACGGTCCACGGTATTATACTTGTTATTAATAAAAGTTCACTGCTTGATGGTTCACTCCCATTATAATGAAGTAGTTGCCTTAATCATCACTTGGCAGGCACCTTGATGATCACTACCTGTCTCATGCCTTCTATGCTGCTTCCCGTTGCCATATGGGAGAATGTTTTTTCTACTGCACAGTTAAGTTTATCCTTCAATCCAACTTACTTTTTCCTTAGAGCAATGTTCTATATTTTATGAATTACAGTAAGTTAAGTACTTATTTTTACAAAAATAATTAGCTAACTGTTTATGCTGTTATATATTACTCTATTGTATATAAACGAAATATTATTTATATGTAATATTACTCAGTAAACAAAAATAGATCATTGTCAATTTACGGCATTGATGAATCTGATTGGATAAATTGTTGAGACTCTATACTCGGGATGGATGAACTATATACATTCTTATGTAAGGTCATTCGGAACCCTCACTTTGTCCCGTTTTTATTATTATTTGGAGTTGTTGTCGGGAAGATGCTGCTGCCCATCTCCTGTTTCAGTTTCCCTCTGTCCCTTTTTACGACATCTGCAGGATGGTATGGTAGTATGGAGTCTCCTACGGCACCACTATGCTGGCTTTTTCTCTTATTTAACAAAAGAATTTGGTTTCAGTCAATACCAAATCATCATGAGGCTAGAGATAAGATTCAATTCACACCAATTACTCATATAGATATCAGGCCAGTAGAGTGTGATGTAGAAAATAATTGTAAGGACGATATGTTTAGCCTTGAATCTGTAAAAGTTGAAGAAGAGAATTTCGAAATTGAGAATTCCACATTTGAAGAATATGGGAATCATGAAATAGGTAAGATATACACATTTTGTAATATTAATAAAATAAGCTACAAGTTACCTATTGGCAAGTGGTTACTGTAGCCTATGGACACAAAATTGTATCATAGTGACATGTTGGGGTGGATTAGGCCATGTGTTCCAGACGCGTACCAATGTCGAGTAAGACAAGGCGCTTTTAACACAAACGTTACGCATTCTTAATAGAATGGCTGAAGACATTGACCTATTCTGTTGCACCTTGAGTGAATTCACTAGGGTAGGATTGTTTACAATTTTTTACAGTTAATGACCACATTTTGCTATGCATGAGAAGAACTACACTGTCGCATTAGGTTATTCCTGTCATGATAGTTGTTAGTTTAAATAAATAAATAATTGTAAATGTAAAATAATGAGCTTTAGACTTTTTTTTTACTTATGCATTAATATATTTTAAAAATATTTTGACCCTGTATAAATGCAGCCAGTGTGTATGTTACTAAGATTAATTTCATAGGAATTAATGATATACTTACAACTGGTAAGCAAACTGTCTTTGCCAATTTCTTTAGGAATGCCACAAAGCACGGGCCTTAGCCACCTGCATCCATCGACTTCCTGCATGTCTTACCAGGTCGTCACTCCATCTAGTGGGGAGCCGCCCTACACTACGTCTACAAGTACGAGGTTGCCTCTCGAGAACCTCTCTTCCCCTTCGGTTGTCAGTTCTGCGGCCCATTGCCACTTCAGCTTCTTACACTTAGCTTATGAAACATGCAGTATGGTAATGAAAGTGGGTGGCTCAGGCCCATAAGCTTTGTGATGGACTGTAATGATCTAGTCGCTTGAAAAAAATATTAGTAATTATTTTATATATTGTGTCAGAATGTGTTTTATTCTAGAGAGTGCTGAAAAACAAGAAGATTTGGAGATTGATGCTTTTGAAGATAGACATACGGATTCGGAGAACGACTTGCCGCTAATTGCATTTGGTTCAAAAAGTAAAAAAGACGACGATGACAAAGGTAAATTAATTTATGTTAAAAAATATGTATCAAAAAATAAAAAGAAATCACCACCAATTCCTCTTGCATCATGTAGTTGTACGAGGGCTGCACTAAAAGTATCGGGAATTGAATATTTCCACTGTTCTTGTGATTAAAATCTTTTTAATTGAAAACCTCTTGGTTTTAAAAATCGAATACCATTTATTTATTTAAAAAAAGATTCTCGGTCTTTTCACAAGGTTTTGTCAAACTTGTTTAGTCGTTGAGAAAATGGAATTGACTCGAGAAAATTCAAGAGCGATGATTTATTATGACCTTCGAAGTGATTTAACACAAAAACAGTGTGTTGACCGGATGATTTCAGCATTTGGTGATGAAGCCCCATCCAAAACCACAATTTATCGCTGGTTTGCTGAATTTCAACGTGGACGTGTCAAGCTCAGTGATGATCCCCGTCAAGGTCGTCCAAAAACTGCAGTCACCCAAGAAAATGTTGATGCTGTGCGTAAGCTGATTGAGGAAGATCGACATGTGACATACCGCGAAATTCAGGCAACTTTAGACATTGGCATGAGTCAAATACAAATAATCTTGCATGAACAATTAGGTGTAAAAAAGTTGTTTTCCCGATGGATACCGCATTCGCTCTGTGAAGAGCAAAAAGCGGCTCGCGTTACTTGGTGCGTCAGAACTCTCGAAAGATTCCACGCAGGATCCTCAAGTGCTGTATACAACATCGTATCAGGTGACGAATCCTGGATATACGCGTACGAACCCGAAACAAAAAACCAGTATCTAGTTTGGGTGTTCGAAAATGAGTTAAAGCAACGCGTAGTGTTTCTATATAGTTTGTGGTTAAAGCCAACAAAAATTGTTCGTTCACTGAGTGTTGCAAAAAAATGGTGGCCACGTTTGTCTCCAACACCGTATCATCCTCCATCACGACAATGCGAGTTCTCACACCGCACACAGAACAAAAGAGTTTTTAGAGCAAGAAAACAACATTATACATACAAAAAAAATTATTAGACAATCCGCCGTACAGCCTCGACCTAAGCCCTAATGATTTCTATACTTTCCCTAAAATAAAGAATAAATTGCGTGGATAGAGATTTTCATCACCTGAAGAAGCTGTGGACGCCTACAAAACGGCCATTTTGGAGACTCCAACTTCCGAATGGAATGGTTGCTTCAATGATTGGTTCCATCGTATGGAAAAATGTGTCAAATTTCGCGGAGAATACTTCGAAAAGCAATAAATACATTTTTAAATAGTAACAGTGGTAGAGCCACGCGGCGGCTTTTGCTGTCGCACGGATGGGCCGGCTCGAACCGGGGTGGTACCACGACCTCACAGAATACCAACGTGAAGTAGAGGTTTACCTCTGCGTTTCGCTTGGTGAGTGCAGGTGGCCGGAGGCCCTTTTTACTGGAAATGAGGCATTCCATCTTAGTCCTCACGGGTGACAACGCATCTGCATTTTGATTCGCAAACGAGGATAGATGTAGATGTCTATGAGCCGCAGCAACCACTTACCATCAGGTGGACTGTGTGCTTGTTTGTCACCCTTATCTTATAAAAAAAAAAAACTTCACTATTTAAAACGTCACTTCCTTGATTCCCGAAATTTTCAGTGCCGCCCTCGTACTACATGTAATACTACATGTACTGTAGAGATGTACTATACATACAAAATTTTGTTCTTTAATTACTTAATTACTTTAGTCACATCTAGGTTCCGCAATAAAATATCGTGCGCCCAGCTATACGAGCGGTTATCAGCTAGTGTTTAATATAATGGATTTTCGCAATGTAACGCCTGATTGTATTGATAATCTTTTTGTCTTGCCTTTTTATTTTTAGGATGTGAGTAGGAGGGGTGATCCAAAAGTAATTATTGATAGTGAATATTAAACACGGTGATTATTGCTAAAAAAAAAAATTATTTTTCCACATAGTCTTAACAAGTCAACGCATTTAGTCCATTTTTGTAATAATCCCAGAATTCTCTTAGAAATAAATCTTTCTTAAGTTTCGCTATCGTCTTGCAAATGTCTTGCCTCGAAGGTGTTCCTTAAGTCGAGGAAATAGATAGAAGTCACTGGGAACCTAGATCTGGTGAATAGGTTGGGTGTTCAAACAGTTCAAATCCCGTTTGGCAGCCATCGCAACTGCGGCTTTGTGAGCCGGAGCGTTGTCTTGTTGAAACAGCACTCCATCTCGTCTCATCGTCTTTTTCTTTGATAGCTTCCTGCAATCTTCTTATTTGGCCTGCGTAGTCGAGAGTATAAGCCCGAAATAATGGCTCCCTTTTCCAAATATTCCACCATAATTATTCCTTCAAAAACGGACGCCATAACCTTTCCCGCCGAACTTGGCACTTTGAATTTCTTTGGCGTCTGGAGGAGGCTCAGTTCCAAACCATTGATTGTTGTTTGGTTTCAGGATCGAAATGGTAGATCCAGGTATCGCTCATGGTCACAAAACGTAATAAAAAAAATCTGATCTGCTTGGAACCTTTCGAGATTAACCCTCGATATGTCGACTAATTTTTTCTTTTGCTCGTCGGTGAACGTTCTCGGTACCCAACGCGCAGAGACCTTTTTGTTATGCAATTAGTTCGCAACGTTTCTTTGAACACTGTCACATGAGATCCCTGTGACGTCAGCTATATGCCTGATGGTCACTCTTCGATCTACCAATACGACGTCTTCGACTCTTTTCACTTTATCTTCAGTTAGGGATGTGAATAGGCGTTCATCTTCCGTGGATGTTCTGCCCATTTGAAACTCCTTAGCCTAGCGTGCAACTGTGGAATATGGAGGAGCAGAGTCCCTCTAATGTTTCACCAAGTCACTGTGTATATCTTTGGTAGACATTTTTTAAACAGAGAGAGCTCATTAAATTTTTCTCCATTTTGTAGTTGTCTCTTTGATGATTCGTATTCAAATGAATGTACCTCTCGAGAATCGTAGCCTATTTATTTAGACGTTTGGCGCGTAAAAATTAGAATGGCCTAGCACTTGACTTGACGGGTTAGCAAAAATCAATATTTAAGGTTAACTGAGGTGGTAGGTGTAGCCTAATGCTATATTATTCCTATACTATTTCTCATGTAAAAACCCTTCCACTTTATTATATTAGTATAGATTACAAAGTTATAATGCAGTTATTGTGTTATGTTCTTGTTACTTTTATGTTTATGTCACTACTCCTTAGGTGTCGTTCCAAGCTTATGGAAAACAGCCTTAGTGCATACGATTCCTAATAAAGGCTGAAACCTATCCAACTATAGGCCTCACGCGGTACCATGAAGAGCATAAGCTGATTAGTGACCTTCAATACGGTTTCCATCGAAGCTGTTAGGATCGATTGGACGGAAACGGCGTGTATGTATGTATGTATACATACATACAAAATACATACATACCTACTTACAAATTAACTATTTTATTGGTGCCAGTGGAGGAGGGACCTGAGTTGCTAGCATACTGTGTAATTTTACGGCAAACAAAAAAGCCTCCGAGCTACCAGGGCTTGTTATGAATCTTTGTATGGCCTGCAAATAATTCCTCTATCTTAATCTTCCCGTAAACTTCCTCTGCTGAACAGGGAAGAATCTCTCCCAATGTAGGGAGAATTTGCCTTGAGCGTCACGCTTGGCATAAGACTGACGATCGCAGAACCAGACGTGAGCACCTCTGGCAATGTCGCCTGGCGCCGGTCTGGATATTTTACATCTGAAGTAAACGAGCTGGTTATACCGCCATCTGTCGGAAGTCATCGGATTTTTCTGGCAAACCCAAAGTCGCCTCTTACGAAACCCACGGGACAACATGTAACGATGAATTCTCTTATCCCTCACTTACACGCCAACATCGACTGTACTGTGTGTATAACACTAGTTCTGTGTGGAGTTCGAAACAGCAATTATTAGATTAATGTAATTATAACATGGTCAGAAGAACCATTCTTTCCTATCAAAAAAGAAAATGAGAAACATTATTCGGAGTAATTGGCTAAAATACTTTATATCTAGCAACATTATTTAGTATAATTATGTAAAATATTATAATTTCTCTATTTTTGCATGGGTTAACCGATAGAGAATGCCATAAGGCTTAAACTCCGCCCATTGTAAACCGTTTAAGGTGTCTTGCAATAAAGATGCAATAAGTTACAATAAATAAAAAGTTTAACTACGACAAATAATTTTTCAGAAACTTCTGAAAAGAAGATTAAATCAAATTCTACTGATTGTAACATAAACGATGTTCGTGGAGAAAACCTCGATTTTGAAGGCCCTACTATTAAATCAAACCCTAAAATGAAAAAAGATAATCAACCAATTAATAAAAAAGAAAAGCATTATGCAAAGATTATGAAAAAGAAAATTTTGATACAAAAGAGTGTAAATATGCTTAAGAAAAAAACATCTGGGATATCAACTGAATACATTTTTGAATGTGATGGTTGTAGTAAAAAATTTCCAACAAAAGACATTCTCGCCAAACACATTTCATACAGTCATAAGACGCAAAAGCACTCAGACACCACTGCAGTTCGGACACAAGTTGAACAAACTGCAGTACCACACCAAACAGAAATATTTAATTGTGATATTTGCGAATTTAAAACATCTCATAAATGTCGTATTTTTGCACATTCTAAAGCGCACGCTGCTAAACAAATGTACTGTTGTAATAATTGTGAATATAAATGTATTAGAAAACAAGAGTTGCAAGCACATATGAAAATACACACCGGTGAAAAACTTTGTTCGTGTAATATCTGCGAATATAGATGTATTTCAAAAAGTAATTTGTTAAAACATAAGAAAATACATACCGGAGAAAAACCTTATTCGTGTAATGTATGTGAATTTAGATGTATTACAAAAAGTAGTTTGCGAACACATATGAAAATACACACCGGTGAAAAACCTTTTTCGTGTAATAGCTGTGAATATAGATGTATTACAAAAAGTGATTTGCAAACGCATATGAAAATACACACGGGTGAAAAACCTTTTTCGTGTAATAGTTGTGAATATAGATGTATTACAAAAAGTACTTTGCTAACACATAAGAAAATACACACTGGTGAAAAACCTTTTTCTTGTAATATCTGTGAATATAGATGTATTACAAAAAGTCATTTGCAAAGACATATGAAAATACACACCGGCGAAAAACCTTTTACGTGTATTATTTGTGAATATAGATGTATTACAAAAAGTCGTTTGCAAGAACATATCAGAATACACACCGGTGAAAAACCTTTTTCGTGTAATATCTGTGAATATAGATGTATTAAAAAAAGTCATTTGCGAAGACATTTAAAAACACACACTGGCGCAAAATCTTTTTCGTGATCTATCTGGTAAAATATGTACAATATTGTGTAAACGTGTTTTGTATAAATGTACACACATGTACCAGATAAAAATCTAAGTATTTTTTGTGAATTTGTGATGTAATTATATAACGAGTTAACACCCACGAGACGATGTGGGGTAGTGGATTGTCTTACACCATCACCATACTATATCACGATATGATGCCGTGTGGTGGTGTCTTTCTGTACGTTGTAGAGCCTCGCTGCAGCTATATAGAGGTTCTAGCACGAATGGATGGACTCGAACGGGGTAGGACCACGCTGGCAAAGTGTAAATACCAGCATGAAATAGCAGCTTTCGTGAGAAAATAGTGTTTCGTATGGTGAGTGTAGAGAACTGGAGACGCTTTTTACTGGTAACGAGTCATTCCTTCTCAGTCCTCATTGTGACAACGCATCTGTATTTCATTTCTTAATTGAGGATAAGGACACTTAATAATAATAATGTGTGTGTGGTGTGTGTGTGTGTGTGTGTGTGTGTGTGTGTGTGTGTGTGTGTGTGTGTGTGTGTGTGTTGTGTTGTGTTGTGTTGTGTTGTGTTAAGCAGTCTCATAGTCTAGTCTAGCGTTTGTTTTATTATATAGATAATTACCAAGAAAGGTAAAGAATGTATGTGAAAATTTGGTGTAATGTGTGTTGCAGTAACAGACTAGATCATTTCTGCGCTTATCTTTTATCAATTGTGAGTTATACTGTAAGAGTGAGTGTTTTTTAATGATACATTGTAGAATAAAGAGCTGCCTCCAGATAGGACTTTCCAACGCTTGTATAAGTCTACAGTAGGGTAAAGAAAGCGAAGTGAGGCGGATACTTTTAACATAGCTCTCTGTGCTCTTTCCAGTTTTATTATTTTTGTCCTTTCAGAACCACCCCAGCATGTTATACAGTATGTGATAATCGATTGACATAAGGCAAAGTAAACTATTTTGATGTCTTTTAAGTCAGCTATGTTACTAAGGTTTTTAAAAATGTATATTAACTTTCTTACTCTAGTTGTCAACGTGTCTATGTGATTTGAAAACTGAGTTTGTTATTCATAATTACTCCCAAGATATTTCATATTATCTACTCGCTCAATAGCACTGCAATGACATAGAGACATTTTCATCTTTGAACATGTATGTGCTCTTAATGAATATTGGAAGTCAGTGTCATTGGCTGAACGCATTGTAAAAATCATATATTTTGTCTTTTGTATATTTAATGTTAAAAGGTTGTTTATTAGCCAGTCAGATACTTTATTTAAGTCTTCTTGAGCATTTTCATAAACTTCTTGCCACGTATTTGCATGAAAAAGGAGGGCTGTATCGTCAGCAAAACTTAAGATCTTACCTTGTGTAATTGTAATATTCAGGAGATCGTTAATATATGTTAAAAACAGTGTAGGGCCGAGTACACTTCCTTGTGGTACGCCAAATGATGTGGCAAGTGCATCACTAACATGATTATCAACCCGAACTTGCTGCGTTCTATTTGTTAGGTAGTCTTTTATAAGATCTAAAGGTATACCTCCAATGCCCATATATTCTAATTTATTCAAAAGCAAGGGAATGGAGACGGTGTCAAATGCCTTTACTAGATCTAGGAATATAACTAAAAAATTTTTTATCAAGATTTTTTACGACAGATTCAGTCACAGAATACCAGCGTAAAGTAGAGGTTTACCTCCGCGTTTCGCTTGGTGAGTGCAGGTGGCCGGAGGCCCTTTTTACTGGAAATGAGGCATTCCATCTTAGTCCTCACGGGTGACAACACATCTGCATTTTGATTTGTAATAGAGGATAGATGTAGATGTCTATGGGCCGCAGCAACCACTTACCATCAGGTAGACTGTGTGCTCGTTTGTCACCCTTATCCTATAAAGAAAAAAGTTCATGTACGGCGTCCGCCGTTGATTTATTAGAGCGAAAACCAAATTGATATTGTGATAATAATTTATTACTTTCTAGATAATTAGTAATCCTTGTATTAATTAAGCGCTTTAAAATGTTTGACATTGTTGGTAGTAAGGAAATCGGTCTATAATTGTTTACACTATGTTTATCTCCACTCTTTAGAATAGGTATTGTAATCGATTTTTTAAAAACTGTTGGAAACTTACCAGTGTTTATAGCTAAATTACAAATGTGAGTTATGGGCTTGCTAAGTAATTTCTTGTTATGTTTAAGCACATCACCTGAGATATTATCCAATCCTACTGCACGGCCTAACTTTAGATTCGATATAAGTAGATCGATTTCGTTTTCATCGGTTGGCAATAAAACAGTAGATTTACAAAAGGGTTCTATTTCTGTACGAATTTTGTTTTTAAATTGAATGATCTCTTTAGCTAAATTTTGTGCTACATTAACAAAGTATATGTTTATTTTATTTACTGAGGTTTTTGGGTTTTCTGATATTGATAACAATTCAGTCGGTGAGTCTTTAGTTTTCTTTGAGTGTGTTATCTTTTTTATGGTTTCCCATAATAATTTAGTATTTTTACTTGTTTTAGTTAGTTTTTTAACATTAGCTAATATTTTATTACAAAAATTTCTATATCGTTTATAAGTTAAATTTAAGACTTCATTATTTGGAGGTTTTCTGACCTTTTTATGGAGATTATCTCTATTTCTCATGCATCTTAAAAGTCCTGGTGTAATCCGTGGTTTTCTTATGATTTTACGCTGTGATATAGTCATTGTTTTGGTGTGTGATTCAATAATATTTGATAGCGAATTTACAAGATAATTAGCCGCAACATTGACATCAAACATGTTAAAAATGGGTGTAAAGTCAGTATTTTTTATTTCTAAATATACATTATTGTAATTAGTGATTATTTTCTTAGTAAAACTAGTGCAGTATTCATTATTTTTTGAATTTAGAAACGATATAATGCAGTCATGATCCGTAATTGTTGTCTGAGAAACACAGCAGATTCCTTTGTAATTCGTTTTTAACATAATATGATCCAAGCAGGTTCGATTGTGAGGGGCAATGTATGCGCAGAGAGAATACCAAATGACGCTAACAAGTTTAAGTAATTTTCGGCATGATTATCTTTGCTCTGTTCACAAATATCAATATCAATATCGCCTGCTATTATTATATTTTTATAGCAACATATTGTCTGTAATAAATAATTAAGAGATTCAATAAACTTTGTAACATCCTTTTGACTAGGAGGCCTGCAAAGTGCCACAATGATTGTGTCGTTATTTAGCTTAGCGAGCAAACAGTTAGCGCCGATGAAGTTTGGTTCACTTATTGACATATTTAAATTCATTTTACTATAAATTACCACACGTTCATTTTGCGTATTGTTGGTTAGCGTGTCACTGTAACTGTAGCCTTCAATAGGAGGTATTATTTGACAACTTTGTAACCAACATTCAGTCGCGACTATTATGTCAAAACTAATTTTAGACCTTGTTAGTAATGTAATTAGATTATCGTAATTTTTTCTAATACTGCGCACATTCTGCATTAATAGTTTTAAGGGCTGATAGCAATCAGTTGTAATATGCTTATAGCAGTGTCCTATATCGCAGGATGAAGAGGAAGCTATTTTTATTGTATCAAGATCGTTAATAATATTCCTTATATTTCCGCCTTTTGTAATATTTTTTTAAACAAATACAATCTATCATCATGAATTCGATGTAAAAAATGATTAAAAACTTAGTTGTAAGGTGCATGAATACTTTAGAACTAAGTATATATTTTATATTTAGGATAGGAATAGAAATATTTGGTAAATCCGTCTCTTAATTCTAATAGTACCTATACACAAGGCAACTCGCATGTAACATATGTATAATAATAATAATATTACTGGACAAATCATATTTAAGAACAAAATTAAAAGTATGTTTTATGTAGTGTAAATGTGTGGTGTGCATGTATCTATCTATACATATAATAATACTGTAAATAGCAGACGTC